TTCAGCCCTGCAGCTTTTATAGGTCTTGAGATGAAAGTGCGTGACAGACGCACACACAGACAACCCTTCGTCAATATGCTTTTTGCATTGCATAGCTGGAAAAAACGCATAAAAAAGACCTGCTTTATGACAGCGTTCTCGATATTCTGCATGTTCTCGCGCATCGTTTTTTCCACTTCGGCCGCAACATTCGATGCGTACATCTCGTCTATCCGATGCGCAGTATCGGCACTTTGCTGTCGTCCTTCACTGTCCCCACCGATAATTTCTTTGAAGAAGTCCTCATTCAACGGTACTGGGCATCGTTCATTCGGTCGCAAGTATTTCCGCTCCATATTCCACGATTTTTCTGTACCGGAAAGCCATCTCTGACACCTTGCATTGAATATCACTGCCTCTGACCTCATTCATTATGACTAGGTACCGTAGGAAGAAATGCCCCCATCCCTTCCCCGGCAGAAGAGGTTATCGAAGCAGCAGATCATCCACTGTCTAGACATTTTTATCTTCACCATCTTCAGTAGGCACGGTGCTTGTACAGTTGTCCTTTTTTGGCTCCCAAAACAGAACTTGTAAATGAAACCGGGAAATTGAGACAAAAGGCCTGCCAAAGCTTTCCTAACCTATGTTCATAACTCGAGGATCTGAGAAGCTGGAAGGCTAAAATCACAGCATAATGTTCCCCGTCCAAGTGGGTGTTAAAGCAGAGAAACATATGCCACGGGAAAGCCTGGTAAGAGCGTAAAGGCCAGCGAAACCTTTTCTGGCCTATGTTCATAACTCGAGGATCTGAGAAGCTGGAAGGCTAAAATCATAGTATGATGTTCCCCGTTCAAGTGGGTGTTAAAGCACTGAAATCTATCTCCCGGGAAAGCGTTGGGAGAACAAGCCAAGAGATGATGCACGACGACCGAACGAAGTGCGCAGATGGAGTGTGGCAGTGTGAATATACCAAAAAAAAGTAAAGTTTTTATCAAAAAAGAAAGCACACGCACGCATGTCGTGACGTGTAGTCCGTGTCATTACAGTTGAGGAGCAAAAAGGCACTTTAGTAAATATTTAATAAAATCGAAGTGGTGAAAAAATAAAATTGAGCGTACGGAACGGAAAAATGAGCACCCTGGCATCAATGAAAGCTTGGACACACACACACACCGTCTAGTGCCAGAGCGGCTGTGGTTCAAAACCGACTGATACATTAGACCAAAATTCAATGCACATAAACAAAAGAGCTTTCTAAATATCGGACCTACCGACACACACACACACCCGTTTGGTATAGAGAAGCAAACCCCTGGGGCGAGAATAGCTCCCGAGGTACATTCAAGAAACGAAAAATACTTGCACAATAGAAAATCGCGCGTTACTTCGGACCTCACCCCCGGACATCGCCATAAACTGAGCAAAAGTCCTTCCGCTTAGGGCTACTTCATCTTTCGCAAAAAAAGCAAAAAAAGAACAATCTACAATTAACAAATTTTTAAATTTTAAGATTCTGCTGTTTTTAGCTACAGCCGGCCAGTCCTTTGTCGAATTTAATTCTCTGCAAACAGAACTTAGAATATAGCAAATTATAAAACACAGTTACACATGTACACGCGAGAACATCATGCGCTGAAACACGAAGGAGAGACAGTGTCTCGTCGCCATCTGGGGATCTTAGTGAGTAGAATTTGTGGTGAAAGCGATAAAGGAATAACAATTAATTGCCAGTGCTGATTCAGCAAGACATTTGGGTTAAGAGAAAAGCCGATTTGGAGAGACACACTGCTTACAACACACAATGAACGATTCGTACTGTAAAAACGCATGTTGAGATCAATGGCTGCTTGCTGAGAAAGAGAAATATCTAGAACAACATTGAACCAAACAGCATCACAGTTGATGATGCCACCTTAGTTTCAAACTACAGTACAGCTTCAGACATAGAAAACTGCCTAAAAACTACACGGGCCATCAGGGAACAGCACATGAAACTGATTACGAATCACACTGCTCTCCGACCGCCCGGCATGGGATCTTCATCTTCATAAAACCTTTCGGGATTTGGATAATTGTACTCCAGAAAATCGGGCATTCCGATATCGACATACGGCAAAGCGATCACCTGAAAATATCCCATATGCATTTGCAGTCAGAAACTGAATGCTGCAGTTTTTTAAAGCATTGAATTAATCTTCAGAAAACCATCTTGTAAATTTATATCTGCTGCTTCTCTAAAGGAATAAGTTGAAGA